TCTTTTTTATTACAAAGATTCTATATGATCATTAAACTAAAAAGTTTAAGTAATTTGATTATAAAAATTAATCATTATATAAATATACTCATTTAGCAAAATGTATTTATTAAATAAAAATTTTGTAAAATATTAGCAATTTTTGCTATATATAATATATTTATATTATTAGTAAACTTAAAGTCAGAAATAAATTACATTAAACTTATAGTTTTCTAGTATTTTAAGCATATGTAATGAAATAATTAACATTTCAAAATAAATTAAAAAATTGTTAAAATATATAAAAAATGTTTGACTTTTCTACTCTTTTAAAATAAAAAGTATTGTATATTCAAGTATAAGTTATTAATGATCATCTATTAATGAAATATTTTTATTATTTGATTATTTAATATGTTGCAATTCATAAAATTAAAATTTGAAAAATCTTTATTATAGTTTTATATTTTATTTTATTAAAGGTTAAAGTGGCTATTATTACTGCAAAAAAATAGGATTTATGCAATTTAGAAATCATAAATTATATAGATATCATTATATAAATAATTGTTATATGGTTACTTGCAGCCTATTAATCAGTAGAAATATACAAAAAACTAACTTTTACCAAAAACCTATTATATGCAAAGTATTAAAAGTAAAGAGTTTTATAAAATTAGATTTTACACTTTGTATTATTTTAAATTAAACATTGAATAAAACATTTTATTAAGCAGCAGATAACTAATATGTTATTAATCAGTTACTTATGAAGAATTTACAAAATTTTCTAATTTTTAACTGTTCAATATATCTATCTTTAATAATTTTAATATTTAAATATTATAATGCACTAAAAGCTTATTGAATTAAAATAATTTGATTTTTAAAAGAAAATCATACAATTAGCATATTATAAAGAATGAATTATTAAATTAATTTATTAAACCTTTTCGCAAAATTTCATAATGATTTATACTAAAAATTGAGAAATCCTTGTTTAATCTTTACTACTTCTTTAATTACTTGACTAATTATATAAAATTTTACAACTAAGTAAAACAAGTTTATTTAAACCCATATATTATGTTTAGATAAAAGATCAGGAGGGTCAAGGCTAGAGGCGTAACGAATGACAAAGAAGCAAAAAATAATTTAATGATTTTTGTGACTTCGAGGCCTAATAAAAGTGACCTGGTGACTATGTTGACCAATGATCTAAGTCATGTTATATGATGATAAATGTCATTTCGAAAAAGTGAAGTGACCAGATCATATTCCAACACTGTGTTAAAATGGCTAATATCATTGCTCCCAAATGATTTCATGAAAACTTCAGGCGTTAATTTATTTCTTTCGTAAATTTCTTACATGTGTATTTTGGATATGTAATAGAATTATTTGGCATAACCTAAATTCAATTGATTTTTTATAAATAACCAGAAATATAAAAAACTTGTTTTCTTGTCAGAATCACAAAAAAATTAAAACAAAAAAATAATAAATGTTCTGAATCAGATGATAAAAGTTACATCTATTTCCTTTTTAAAAAAATTTTCAATTTGGTCCCTCTTATACCAAGTATGAACGAAGTTTTCGAAAATAAAGTTTATCTTCTTTATAACACGGAAATAACCAAAAATCATGTTACAGTCGAGATAGAAAAAGAGCTCATTCGAGAACTAATTGATCGCTATTTTAGAAAGTTTGAATGTTGAAAAATGGTGAGTATTTCACTGAATATATCTGAAGATACGCTGCTATTAATATGAAATATCTGGGAATGAAAGCTCTTCGTAGCTACAGAAAAAAGACTGTAAATGTTCTTCATGATTTTAATGATGATAACGCAATTGCTCATTTTTTATTTTTACATTTTCGTAGAGGTCGTGGTGACAAATAAAAAGATATAGCTGACGTATTTCTAATATTCCATTTTTTATTCAATGCAAAAACTTGAGAAGTAAAACAACAGGTATGCTTTAGAAATTTAATGAATTTTTATATATATCGCTATGACAATCAGGTAGAACAAATATCATGAGAACTTCTCAAAGATTAATTTTCTCGTAAAGGCTAAAGGTTTTAGATTTAGAAGCTTGGTAGGTGGCTACAGAAAAAAATGACAGTGAACATTCTTAATTTTTTGATGATGATGACACAATTACTAATTATTTTTATTATATTTTTCACGTATGCCAAGGAGACAAGAAGATATATATACGCAGGTGTAACAAAGGATCGAAATAAGTAGCACAATGCAAAACTAGAGAAGCAAAAAATAGGTATGTTTTAATGGAATTTAATGAAAATTTTTATATCTAAATAAATATCATTTAAAAAATATCTAAATATCTCAGGACCTGCTGTCATTCGGATGGATGGGATGCTGCTTTCAAGACGAGAAATAATCAAGGTCGACAATCGGTATTGTAGTGGCCTCCTCGAAGGATAGTTTTCTCGTGGAGGTCAAATGTTCTATATTTAGGTTGCTTCAAAAAATGGCTGTGGACGCTATTCTTGAATTTTGATGATTATGACGCAATTAATATTTTTATTTATATATTTCAGAGAGATGAAGATCCCGTATTTTCTTCTAATAGGATATAAAAGATGAGCCAATCTTAGAAATATTAAAACTGTTGAAACAAGATGGCTCTCATTATCAAATGTAATAGGAAATCTATACAAAATGATGGACTCAGTTTTAGCTTCATTAAATGAAGTATAGAAGACAGAAAACTTGATACCAGCACTTTCTCATTTTAAACCTCATTTAAATGCAGAGATTGAAACTATTTCTACAGATTTTATTGAATGTATCAATATATTACCTACATATGGAATTATTTTACGTAATTACATGGACCGCGAGAAAATTATTTCAAATGATCTTCCAAGCTTTGTAAAAGATTATGCTATAGCAATAACCGAAGCATTAAAAGAACGATTTCCGACCTCGGAACTGTTTGATGCATTGAACATTTTTGATAAGAACTGCTCCCAAAGAAAAGACCAACAAACAAATGACAAGCATGTGGAGATTATCCACTAATCAATGCATTGCTATAGTAACTTAGTTATCAGCGATTACCCGTGAAGTTACGTTATAATTATCCACCGTGTAATTATTAAATTAACAAATAATATACTTTTTTTATTTAATTATACTGCATATTTAATGCTGCGCAACTGAATGTACTTAATGACATAAAGAATAAGTAAATCAAAATAAAATAATTATTATTGTCCGAAGCGAAAGCGGAGGACGTTTACGTTCTATGCAAAAGGTAAAGTTAACAGTGGAATTTTTAAAGATTGTTTATATAACTAGGCACTGGAGACCGTTGTGCGTCCGAAGCGAGCGTCACGCTGTCACGTTCCAATTTTTTCGAGCTTGACATTTTTATTTTAGTTTGGTGTTTTTAGCGATTACACACATAACACAAGGAAGGTCAATTGATATAATAAATTTATTTTATTAACTTTTTAATTTTTTGTTAGTAATTATGTAAATAGTGATACAAGAGAGAGAAAATTTAAATTTACTATAAAATACATTTTATGTTTTGTTTACTAATAATTTAATAAAGTTTTAAATTTAATTTAATTATAATAACATGAATCACGTGTAACATCCATATCCTCAGACACGTGATTTTTGGTACACAATTTCACGCAACTTATCGGAAACGTTGCGCAGCCGTTGGTTTCATTGACAGCTAATGCTGCGCCCTAACCCAAATGCCACAGTGTAACATCTATAGTACCTTATGCTCCGATTATAATAGTCCAGGTTACACTAATCACGTGTGTAACATCTATAGTGACCGACCAACATTTCGACATTAAGCAAAATGTTAAATTTCAATCATGCGATAATTAAATTATAAATTAATCGGTCAACCGGTAGCATGACCAACCGTTACATCCCTACTGTTTGAATATGGTAAACGTTACTCTTTCGTATTTAAATAGTTAAACCCGCTATCTTAAAGTTCAAAAATTTATGAATAGGAGCAATGAACTTTTTTGATGAAACTTCTAAGGTGTGTGTTTAATCTATTACAAATCAATCATTACGTTAAGATCAATTATCCAATGAATTCTAATATCTTGGAGATTTTTTTTATCCATGAACGCGCCTAGATAATTAATAACAAAATAATTTAATGAGTTCTTTTTAATACTATTATAATTTATTAAAAGTGAAAATGTTTTCTTTTTATTTACACCTAAAAACTATTCTATTTGAGAGATGTTTACAATGTATTTTTTTTAGTATTTAATGTTGGAAAATAGAATAATTTTGTTCATATTTACATAAAAATTTTATCTTTTGAATTGCTACGAAAATGATTCTCTTTTATGGTAAATAATGTATTTTTTTTTTAAAAAAACATTTTTTTTTGTTTACTTTAGCGTAAATATAGTAGTTTCTATCTGAATAAAATGATAAATTACAATTACAGATTAAACAAGCGACTTTTAATTTAATGAATGAGCTTAAATTCATAGCAAATTAAATCCTGATCCAGTCTTTAAAAGAAAATACATGTTTTGATCACATGTAGCTGTGTAAATTATTACATTTATTTGTAGTATTAAAACAAGATCGATTAATTTACCCGGAACAACATGATGTAATCATGCATAGTTGACGTCAAACATGTGAAATACAAAATATTACAGTATTATGTCTATCCTTATTTTTCAACAACACTTTTTTCACTTTACTTTTTTCTAACCATGCACATGTTCAAAGATCTTTTCCGGTGATTTACCAGAACTAACATTTTATGTTATAAAATATTTACGAAATGATTTAAAATCACTTTATTCATGTATTTTGGTCAATCAATTTTTATGTCGAATGACTATTCCAATCTGGGAGAAACCATTTGCATTGAAATGTCTAAATGAAAAGCAATGCGATTTCCTTAAAGATTACTTTTCATTTTTAGTGAATTAGATAGAAATCAGTTAATAAAATTTGGGGCTAAATTCAAACGTATCGAATGGAATTGCATGAAATTAATTGGGCAAATAACCTTGATGCTGATATTACATCATCCCCTTCCACAATCAAAGTTGAACCGGATAATATCACTTTTCTTGATGATATTGGAAAGGAAGTGGAAATCGGATATAATGATAAAGAAATTTGTTGATATGATTTGTATCTTTTTATTGAAATCTTTTATGATCAATAACGCTTCCTTAAAAGATTTTGATCATTACTTCTCATGGTCTTTTTTTACCTAAATTCTTTCAATTGATTTTTGATAATGCAACATTTGTGTCAAATGTCGGAAAGTTTAGAATTGGTTTCATTGCAAACCCTAATGTTTCAAAATTTTCTCAACTCGAATCACTTTTAACATCTTTACCATCTTCATACCTTTAGTTAAACATTTTCATATTTCGTTTCTTTCTAAAAGCAAAATTTTGAATAATGAAACGAAATCAAGAACACAGATTTTATCATTAAAAATTTCATTAAACGCCTTCAATTTTTACAATAATCTTTAAACCTCCATTGAGTTTAATCGTTGCAATTTTCACAATGTTTACTCATTTGATGGACTTAATGATTTTACACAGCGCAGATCACTTTGCTTCATTAATTGTAAACAGATTAAACCTCAATTACTTGATACACCAACTTCATTAAAACTTAAATCTTTAAAATTGCATGGTCCGCCAACAGGGTTTGAATTATTGATTAAAAAGTTGGTTCTTACCGTGAGCATTTAGAATTATTTATTACAGGCGCTTCTGGTGGAGTTTATGAAAGTGTTATAATTAATTGCGACCAAATTAAATTCCTTTGCTTGGCTAATCTTTATCATAATGACAATTCTCGATTATACGGAATGATTACTCGTAATAACAAACGTCTAAAATATCTTACAATTTCATCTTTCATGAGTATGAAAATAAATTTCAAAGTTACTACATGGATTAGGTTCAGTATTACCAAAATCTTTAAAATATTTGGATTTAGATATTGTGACTGATCAGAAGAGCTTGAGCTCTTTTCTGGTCGATTATAGGCATGTCGGTTTGAAAACATTTTTATTTAGGAATAGAAAGAATGAAGGCATTGATATTACCTTTAACATTTTAAAAAATTTTGTAATAGACAACGAGATCAGAAATTTTTCTTATCATATTAATAAGTATTTTAAATCTGATAGTATCATACATCGCAATTTGTTCAGTTTGTTAAAGAAATGCCGTCTTTTGTAAAAATGCAAAGATATCATTATTTGATTGTAAGAATATCCGATTTAATTATGGCTAGCCTTTCTTTTTTTTTGTATTTTATTTGTTTTCCCTCTTTTGATTGGTTAGTATACAAAAAATTTCATTTTATGGTCAGGTGGTGGAATAAAAAAATCAGGATAAATTTGCGTTGGAACCTTAAATATTTTAATCAAATTAAAAATTCTATAATGAAATCTTACCATTTTAAACGAAGTTAGAGGTTGGAGCCAAATTTCTTTCACAAAAACACTTTTCCCGGATCAAAACAGAATTTAAATTTCTTTAATTTTTATTAGAAAAAATTTTAGACGATATACAATAATATGTTTCATTAAATTCGATCTAGAACCGGTTTTTTGCGACTGACTTTCAATCGGGCCAATTTCTAGAACGACGATCATTTCACTTTAAATAATTCTTTCCCGGTGTTAATTTGGAATTGAGTCGAAAACCAACAAGGAATTAAATCTAACTCGAGTCCGTCCAAAGAAAGGTTTATGTAACAGTCAAGTTTATTTGGAGAAATGATAAAGGTTTGGAAGGATAAGGATAAAATTTTTAATAAATTTCAAGATAACGGAATTCTTTTCTCAAGACTCGTCAACCACCCTATGTTTTCAATCAAGTCGGACTTTTTGAGGTACAATGCAAAAAGTTCTAATAATAATATAATAAATATAACAAATATAACGAATATAACTAATAAAAATAATAAATAAAACAAAAGATAACAATTATAAATAAATAAATATAAAAACGAAACGTAATATAATATAATTATTCTAGCATACATAATTAATATAATAATTATTTTTTGACATTTTGACATTTTTTTGTTATCTTTCCTCAGGATTCCATCAAAAAAATGTCACGAAATTTCACGTGATATAATTTGTCACCGGTGTCACTTCCCTCCGCGTTTCATTTTTACTAAAGTATTATGGGGACAGAATTTTTCAGTAATTAAAAATCTATTTGTCACAACTATTCGTCATATGCGCGCCACAATTAATTCCAGCAAAATGTCGTAATGCCGGCCATTTCGTGACATTTTTTGATGGGTACTCAGGGGAAGTCTTCCTCAGTTACTGCGCCATTCGTAAATGCTAACTGATCGATATATTCATGCCATGCCAACATATCATCAAACAAGTAATGTTTAGAGTTTCTCCAGGACGATTTCTTAATTAAAGCAGATGTAGAATTGGAATTTCGTTGAATGTGAAAAAATTTGGTTGTTGCTATTTTAATAGCAAACTACCTTTTTAAATGCATCTATTTACAATTTCTTTATTTCAATAAAAAATTATAAAAAAAATAATCAGTTTCAACAGCTCTTTGTTTTATCTTTCCTCATAACATTCTTACGAAGAAAATTATCATCTATTGGATTAAGTAACATTTATTGAAATTGGATTTTCTTGGAGTTCAACAATTTCAGGATTTGATAATGTAACGTATTACAAAAAAATAGCCGAAATACTGAAATTGTATCATCGCGGAGAGAATATATATATATAAACCTTCGTTGATAGAATTTTTTTACTGGCATTGAAAGATTTGTGCTCAACGTAAGACCGTCTCGTCTGTATAGCTAATAATGTGAATACAATTTCATAACATGTCTAAATCATTTTAAAGTTGAAGCAAGACGTCCAAACGTTATAACAACTTTTCGGATAAAATTGGCAACTGGATGTTAATGTGAAGTTGAAATGGATTTTATTACAAGAAAATCAATAAATAATAAGATAATATGAGTGTTAGCTATTGATAAATTTAATTTTATTTTTTTTAATATTTTTTAATTTTAAATGTATTTTTTTATTTTATTATTTTTTTTTAAATTTAGTAAATTTAATTTTTTATACTGTGATTTTAATTTAATGTTTTTAATTATGTTTATTTTTTTTAAAATTTTTTTTATTTTCGGATTGATATTTTATTGAATTCATTTATTTTAATAATTTTAATTTTTTAAATTTGATTTATTTTAATTGATCTTATTAATTTTTTTTTCCTATGTATTCTTTTTTTCTACCTAAACAAAAAAAAATTTGCGAATAACCGCGCGATTTTTTTTTTTTTTAATCACGGGTTCAAATATTTAATTTTTTTTTTTTACTATTTTTTAATTTGCATATACTGTATACAGCAATGTTGGATTTTGGACACATTTTTTGATTTTTAAATATTTTGGACAAGATTTTGGACAGAAAAAACGTGTCCATAACCTGTCCAAACTTGTCCAAAATTGTCCAATTTCCTAACACTGAAATACAGTATATCTCCTATTTTTTTATTTTCGAATTTAATCTATTTAGGGTGTTCTCAAGCACAATACTCAATGGATCGAAAATCGAAAATCGAATCTTGGAGTCGAATCTTGAGAATGATAATCGCGATTCTAAAATCGATTCTAAATTTCGAAATCGATTCCAATCCCTATTCCAAAGACTTTGAGCGTAGGCTTTTTAATTTCCAAAAAAAATAAAAACACAAACTGGATTATCTAAGTACAATAGAAATCTAAAGTAATGTTAGCAAAGATCGTGACGAATCTGAATCATATTCTAAAAGCGCCCTGAATTTGAGTTTTACATAGGTGAGGCAATATAAAAGTCACATACTCCCACAAAGGACAAACCCAACAACTGAATTTGAGTTTTATTTTAGGCGTTGACCGCAACATTTCGAGGCAGTATGAACCGTTATACCCACACAAAGGACCAAATCCAGGCTTGCTAGCACCATATGTAAATAAATACATATCACTTCACCAAGTTGGGCGTAGGTTTTTAATTTCCATAAAAACCACAAACTGGAGTATCTAAAGTACATTTAAAAAAATAGAAAACTAAAGTAATATTAGTAAAGATCGTGACGAATCCGAATCATATTCTAAAAGCACCCTGGATTTGAGTTTTACATTAGGCGAGGCAATATAAATGTCACATACTCACACAAAGGTCAATCCCAACAATTGGATTTGAGTTAAAGTACATTTAAAAAATAATAGAAATCTAAAATATATTAGCAAAGATAGAGTCATATCCTAAACTCACCTTGGATTCGTGTTTTATTTTAGGCGTTGACCGCAACACTTCGAGGCAGTATGTACCGTTATACCCACACAAAGGACAAATCCAGGCTTGCTAACAATATATGTAAAACATATATCTCCATTACCAAGAGCGTTAAACGTAAGTTAAAATCTCCAAGAAACTGGACTATTTCTCTTTTGTTCTACTATTTATTCTATATTAGGGTCTTTTCATTTGGAGGAAATAGGACTTTCTTTCGAAAAACTCGGTTATTAAAAATAAATAAAAATGTGGTGAATATATTAGGAAAGTATTAATTATTCATTAAATATTTACCTTTTATTTTATCATAATATAAAATACAATAAAAATAAATACCAGTTTTCCAGTTGACTCTTTAAAAATTAAAGTTATTCTATTCCATGTAATTTTAGTTCAAACTCTCGATAACGTAAATGTCCCATTTGGATCCATACACTTGAGTAATAAATTTTGACTGTTTTGTATTTCGATTAAAAGAGCTCATACACGTAAACTAAAATCTCATTCATGATTATACATCACGTAAATTTTAGAATAATATTTGAGACTTAACATAAATCGCTCTTTTGTCGCTCGCGCAAACGTGAAACCATTAGTTAGAGCATTCTTAATATTTTCTTTGTAGCTTTGTGACGATTTGAATTGTTGTTGTACATGTTGTACATGCTTTGTAATGCCATGTTGCTGATATTACATTTCTCCCTAGAGTAGAGTAGAGTTCTTCTTGACAACCATTAGTAAAGCTTCCAATAAGTCGGAAAAAGTTTTCCATTTGAAATTTTATCCTTAAAAGGAATTTAAAATTGCTTGAGAAGAAACCCATCAAAAAATTTTTCTTTTTATAATTCAAAATATAATACTTATCTTTGATCTTGAACGATCCCACCTCGCCTCGCAGTTTTATTATATATATTCGCAAATCTTTTAAATATTTAATACTTTTATAGCAGAAAACTTTTTGCATTCGAAAGAGCATAAAAC